AAACAAAAAAAAAACAGGTGAAGTTGTCTACAGACTCTACGCACACACATTGCCCAAATCAGATATGCGTTATGTTCTCTCCCCACACTCATCTTGATTCTCTATTTAGGCGTGGCATCCTTGCGTAAGGGGGATATGCGAACCGTCGCTGTATCGTTCCCAATTTTAACAGATGTCTGGCAAGACGCCACCTAGATTTTAGTCCATCTTGTCCCGGTCTGCAAAAACTCATGCTGGCACCGGCAAAAAAAAAGAAAAAAGAAAAAGAAAAGGACCCTCTGCAGGCTGCCGGCTGGGTGAGTGTATACCACACTCCCTAGAACTCACATCCTCATTCCGATTGGCCGTCGACAAGCAGGTGCAAATTCTGTCCACACCCCCCATCCAAAAAGGAAGTTCCCCATTTCCCCCATCCGCCCTTTTCCTCCCTCCCTCCTTCCTCCTCCTCCCTCCCTCCCCTCCTCCTCCCTCCCCTCCCGACTAATGATAGTATCACTTTCTTTCCTCCAAAATACAATCACTGTCAAGGACACCCCACAAAGGGCACTTGCAGAGTCACATAATTATGGCATCCAGCTACAGATACAGCTGTCAAAATAAAAAATTGCAGGGGTAGGTGGGGGGTGGGGGGGGGTGTGGTTGCGCAAAGGGCAGAACAAAAAGAAATTATGTTGTGTTTTGACATGGCAGAGTCTGTCGTTCTCACAAAACCCCATTGCTCCCCTTGTTGTGTGCCCGTCCTTTCCCCCTTATGCGCCACTTTCCCATCACTATCCCCTGTCATGTGCCTCTCTTCTGTCGCACCCCCCTGACATGTGCCACTTTTTTGCCGCTATCCCGCCTGTTATGTGCATATTTTTCTGACACTCCCCCCTGTTATGTGCCATTCTTCTGTGTCTTCCCTTTTTTTTTTTTTTTTTTTTTTTTTTTTTTTAACCTGATCCTCCTCCTCCTCCTCCTGACCGTGGTTACACACTCACTTTGCCGAGTTATGTGCCACCTTTCTGTTCCGAAAGTGGGTAGGGCCCGGCGGGCCCGAGCATTATTGTATCAATCTCACTCCATCAGGATTCGAACTCATGATATGTGTGTGCATTAACAACTGCACCTGCGACACGTGTGTTCCGTTCAGCTGCATGGGCTGGGTATGTGCCTGCCACTTCGCTGTGTTTTCGCAAAAGAATCATACTCCTCCCAAAGCTGCACATTCATTGTGCTGAGTCCCTTCTTTTTTTCTTTCCCCCCCCTTCGAACAAGGAGCCCCAGTCTATTGGTGGGGGGGGGCACCTGCTGGGACCCGGGCCCAGCGTCCCTGGAACAGCCATGTACAGTACACTCAACTGTATGATTTCCCCACGTTACGGTCCGGGGAACCCTTGTCGGCATTGATTGCTTCCTTCAGGAAGGATTGACCAACAGACTAGCCCACACTCTGGAGACAACCCCCTTTCCCGGTGAGACCACCCCAGTTAGGATGGACCGACCGACTACCCTCCCCGCTCTGGAGACAACCCCCTCCCCCCCTCTGAGACTGACTACCCCAGTTAATAAACACATGCCGAAAAACCCGCCCGCCCTCTTCTGTCAAAATTTGTGAGCACAGTGCGCACACCATAAGCGCAACTGTCGTGGTTACCCATCTGCACTAACACTGGTGGGGGTGTTTTTTTTAAAAAAAAAAAAAAAAAAAAAGCGCCAGCTCGCTGTTCTGCAGTCAGGCTTATGCTGGTGACACCCGAGGTGCGCTGACTCAATTTTGCCGAGAGCCTCTTCGTCCTTCCTCGCTCTCTCTTTCTCAATCGCCTCAGTACCGCCCTGATAGCTGGAGCTGGCAGCGAGCACATGCTGCCAGCTTGTCAGTAGCATCGTGGCTCGTCAGTAGCGTCATCATATGACTGCTTGCAGCACAGGCCAGTGGCTTGAGAGAAGTTTTCAAATTGCTTCCGCTTGTATGAACACGAACACGAAAAGTGGACGAGCTGATATGGCAGTAAAGCCGACCGGATACGGGCACACACTCCTCATTAAAATATATGGCATACCTCATGAACAAAGCAGCAATTGAGAGACAAATGCCGAGAAAACGACAAGTCGTTCTGAATAGACTCCGCTGACCATCGAAAGGTACGGTGTAAACACAACCATCAGGCACGAGTGAGACACAGATACAACAGCAAGCCATTGCATAACTGAAAGGCGACGGTGATGACAGCCACGCTACGCTGTGTGGTAAAGGGTCCTAATTTCTCCTAAACATAAAAAGGTGGACGCTGCCGCAGAATCAGAAAAGGCGCACAAACAAAGCGGCCATCGGAAACCCCGTCAAGGATGCCCAGTGGTATACCCTAGGTTTACCCCACGGTAACGTATACCTTCGGGTAGGGTATACCCTCGGGTACTCTACCCTCGGGTGGGGTACCCTGGGGTAGGGTACCGTGGGTTTACCCCACGGTAGCGTATACCTTCAGGTAGAGTATACCCTCGGGTAGGGTACCCTACACGAGGGTAGCCTAGGGTAGGGTATAACCCGCACAGACAAAGTGGCCACTGGAAATCTCTTCAAGGATACACCCACATCCCTTCACTTCACAGTTGTCCGTGGCGCGTCCGCTTAATCCTGCAGCTGACGACTCAGGAGGAATGAAGATCAGAAGCCTGATCGACTCTCCGTCCGACAAGCGAGGGCATGGCAAGTACCCATCAGCTTGATCGCATTGTCACTGCCTACTTTCCGGGCCTGGGAAAAATGCTGCAAACTACAACATGGCACACGCCATGATGCTATCCTTCCCAGTCCTCGTCATCTTCATCCTCGTCATCTTCATCCTCGTCCACTTGCTGATCTATGCTATCGTCACTGGCTGCGCCATCATCATCCTCGCACGCTTGGTCGTCACCCACTGCGCCATCATCATCCTTATCCATCATCTCGTCATTGTTCTGCAGAGAATAGGTAGGACATGTCAATTACATAACAAAAATAGTCGAACGGACCAAACACCAATTCGAAGATGGGAGCAACTCCGCGACCGAAGGGGAATATCACAAGTGCTACTGTGCTACATGATGCCCATAAAAAGAAGAAATCTGCCAAAGCACCCATTCACAATTTATTATATTGCACTGAATGTGGACAGTATAGAGGGCACATGCTATCATAGTCCATCTCAGGCAATACTCATACAACAATTTTTTGCACTGAATGTGGACAGTGTAGAGGGCACATACGTCCTGGAAAGTCCATGTGTCAGTAGCCCTCAGAAAGTTGTTACACAGGAGATTGATGCAACACACAGCACGCACACCACATTTATCAGCCACAAATGGTTAACAGGAACCCCCAATTTCAGGCCCTTGGCAGTTAGTTAGCATGGTCTCCACTCTATCAATTGGTGGTGGCAAGTTTGATTAAAATGACCCTTTGGTTTTCTTATAAATGGCATCATGGCAAGTGGTCTTAAAATTAGGGTCTCCGTTAACCTTCTCTCTTATCAGCTGCTAACAAATCATTACAAAAAGTGGAAAAAAAAAAAAAAAAAAAACACCAACTGCCCTAGCTCAGTTGCTACACCCCTGAACTGAACTGTCAATGAAATACAGACCAGGTGCTGAGTTCGAACTCCACTGGAAGCAGATGAGAAAAAAATTAAAAAAATATTACACTTCTGAATTACCTAGGGCCGGTTCAGTTCGATGATGATATGTGAACGCCGTCTCCATTTTCTTAAAAAGTTATAAAAAACTAAAGTTTACTAAAAACAAACGAACAAAAAACACTGTTGATAGTATTGAGAGTCTTGAGACCTATATTGACCAAGTACATGCCTTTTTTTTTGTTTTTTTTTGTGGAATTTATAACTGGACAGTTTGAGCAGTTCCAAAGCTCAAAAAGTAATCCAAGATGTCCAACGATGGTGGTCCTCTTTTCGTTTTTGGCAGAAAAAAAATAAAAATAAAAAATTATTACTAATTATTAGTATTATTACAAGTGTCTTTCAGGAGATTCATTAAAATTGGAAGAATACAGAGAAGATTAGCAAGGCTCCTCTTTTCAGTGCACAAAAAGAAAAATGACCAGACAGGGCTCAGAAAAACAAATTTGGGTCAAACGACGTCAACCATGCCCAGAATGAAGAACACTGCGTAAGGAGACAACAGACAACAGCTTATTAATTAGCAATGTTCTGTCCAAAACACCCGACTTCATTTCTAGAATATGACCTTTTTCTGAGTTTCCCAAGAATAGGACAATTCATTGTTGAGGACGCATGATACACAATGCCAGAATCCGAACTGTCAACATTCCTTGCCTCGATAACCTGGTGGCTAGAATTAGCCTCGAAAGAGAGGAACACACCGAGAGACTGAACAATTATTTTGGGGGGAGTTGGAGGGGGGGGAGGGGTGGGTTCCACTTGAATAATATAACTAACAAAGGACGGCTAAGGAAATGTGTGTGTGTGGGGGGGGGGGGGGGGGGGGGGGGGGGGGGGGGGGGGGGGGGGAGGGCGGAGAGTACCTGATCTGGCATGTCTTTGTCATCTTCCTTTGAGAGTGGCTTATCCGATCCCTTCAAGCTGCTAACTGAAACAGAAAACAGGAGGTGAGAGAAATATGAATTCCCCTGTGGCTGATTTGAACACCCATGTAACTGTTGATGAACAGATCTTGAGTTTGAGTCCATGGCCAGATTAATACAATTAGGTCAGAGGCTTCCCCTTAAGAACAGAAATGAATTTCCAAAGTGTCTATAATGATGCCCAACATATCACAGACTGCATGTTGAGCAAGGCATACAAAGCCTGAAGGCCTATCCCAGATGTACGGCGTTATTTGCTTTCATTTCATTCGTTTTCATTCTTGTTCTTATGGGAGACCGCCCAAACTGCATAAGGAACGCGAAAAGGAAAGAAGATACACTTGAAAGTTGAAATGAGAAAAGGCCAAAGAAGATACACTTGAAAGTTGAAATGAGAAAAGGCCAAAGAAGATACACTTGAAAGTTGAAATGAGAAAAGGCCAAAGACGTACTTGATGCGATTTCATTACATCCGGTCTTCGCCAATCAACTTGTGCCAATCAACTTGTGTTCTCAATTGGCACTGATGATGATGGTGCCTTACCTGTTACCTGTTCCCTTTCAATCACCCGCTACAGTCCCGGACTTCTCTCTCTCTCTCTCTCTCTCTCTCTCTCTCTCTCTCTCTCTCTCTCTCTCTCTCTCTCTCTCTCTCTCTCA